CAGAGAAAGGTAGAAATGATAAGTATAATTATATACTACTAATTACACCTTTATGTTTTATTAATTTCCCACTATAATTATATTATCTTATATATATCTATGATCTTCTTACTATGTTAGTATTTATATTAATTATTGGTATATATAATTATTATATATTTATATTTATTAATATTTAGTATATTAATTTGATGGAGTCACATAAGAGGGCTCTATTATATACAGTTTCCCTCCATTTATATAAATATATATGGATGAAGACTAGAATAGAGCAGACTTAAGCTCCAGGACTGAAGAAAACTATAAGAATAGATACCAAATAAACCTCAAAATTTATTTGTAAAGCAAGCTAGTAACTACTTTAACATTTATAGTACCTCCACAGAGTTGTACTGAAACTAAAAACAGTATGTACTTTCTTCAAGAAAACAACATTGTGGTTAGTAGCGCGTATATGGTGTGTTTTTTGACAGCATCCATATAATAACGATTAAGGTTTAGATAAAGACACCAAAGGGATGCAAGGTTTAAAAAAATAAAAAAATAAAATAAAAATCTCCAAGTAGGCACTGGGACTGGAAAACGAGGGACAAGTGCGACAAGATGCATCTTGTAACTGGGATTAATTTCATTGTACTCGTTTGGAAATAGTTGTGACATTGTGGGCTGGGAGTGTTATCTAATATTTTGCTTTCCACCCTATGTATCCAATAAAGGATAGGACCGAACATTAAATTTCCCAGTTTAACTACCCAGAAATAAAAATCTGTGCTATATTATATTGTCACGAGCTAACAATTACAGGGACATAGTTTGAATCCATGGTTGCATTACAGTTTTAGCACTAGGCTATTTTTATGAACAGAAAAACAATATTCATCAATTTTGCTGTAATCATTTTACTACGGAGCACTGTGCCCAATCAAATCGACGAACCGGTTGAACTCAGGCTCAGTTCTCCAAGTTTTGCAAAAACCATTACTATTCCCTCCGTTTGCAGACGTGCATTGGAGCTGGGATTGGCCTGAAGCCGGAAAAACGTATACCGTGAGATCGCAGAGTAAATCTATTTTCATATAAGGGGAAGAGACTGGCCACTGTCTCTCTGCTTGTATCTCTATTGGACCAACAGTTTTATGACCCATGCACACTCACTTCAGTAATCGCTATTTACAGGAAAACATGAGCTGTTTTTATAACTGGAAAGCAGATTACTGGTGGACTGCCTGGTTTGCTTGTTACCAAGACCACCAAATGGTTTTAGGAGGGTCTTAAACAAATGCAGCCCCTTTCAGGCCCTTTTAGTTGGATCTGTAATGCAATGTTCAGAGATATTATGCCGACTACAGTTTGATCCATTATTAAGCTCCAGTGACCTTGTGACCCAGACTCTCTCCGCAATGACAGTTATCTCTTCTTAACTTATCTAACATGATATTTACTGTGAAGATGATTTTTGTTAATCTCAAATACAAATGCAACTAGTTTTCCCAATTATATCCCAATACTGTGGTAGATACGAAAAGCTAACTTGCTGAACTGTCATTCTAATCAGCTTTTTGACAGCTCTTAGTTGGAACAAACACCTTCCACTTGGCTTTTACGACGATAGATGGGACAATACATTTATAATGGGCCCCCAGAAAATGTAAACTCCTTCTTGCCTATTTCAACCCAACACGTTTACACAAAAAGCAAGACAAAATGAGGATGAAAAACCTGTGAGTTTACTTTAGGTGTAGTACCAAAGCCAAAACCACAAGGTGTCACACTAACACTTTTGAAACAACTTCAGGTCACCCTGCTGTGCGTCCACAATCCCGATCATGTCCTCACAAGTAATACCAAACAATCACTTGTGTTCCGCCTAGTCTCTAGGCCAGCGCGGGATTGCTAAACTAAAGGTCAGTAACGACGTTCTCCCTCCACTCTTTACTTGAAATATTTTCCATTTCATGGCACTGGGAGTGGTACAGGGGAGACTATTTCGCTACCTTTTTACCTCACATTCTATCATCTCTTGTACTCGCCTCTAGCGCTCTATTTACCTTTCTTACACGATAAAAGATTTCACAGCGACAGAAGCGCCATTCCTATGAATGAATGTATAATATATTAGATTGCACTGTTATAGATGCAAACTAACCCAACAGTAGATATTAAGAAAGAATAATTGCAAATCAGGGTCATCACACCCAGCCAACAACATACTTACCACATCAATCAATCTCATCAATGTTAATATAAATATAATAGATGTAACACTAACCAGGGGAATGTTTTTCTGTACAATCAGGACGATGATAGATGATAGAGGTGATAGATACTTATTATTTATCCCGGAAGGCGAAATTCAAGCATCCAGTAGAGCTATTTACAAAATACAAACATACATTAAACATACATTAATCTAAAAATTCAAAACCACTGACCTTAAGAACAGAATCAAAAAATATCAGTGCCCGCTTGTTAAAACTTTATATAGATACATTTTTTGATAATACAATTTTTATGGTTTTACCTTAACATATTGATATGCTCAGACTATCCAACATTTAAATGGTGTTTTTATTATTGCAGTATTGGCTACTTTCACTTCTAAGTAAATTATTCATCTGGGAATTACCTCGTCCACCTCACTTGCTTGTAGTTTTTCCAGCGACTTTTCTTCAATCCACATCTCAGCGCCTTTAATTTTTAGGCTACCTTTTAATCCAGTTAACGAAGTTACCGTTACAGTTACCGTTTAAAGAAATGTTACACATTTCAGTTTCTGATGTGAGTGTGAATTCTTATGGAGAAAATTGTGTAGTTATATTATTGAACTACAATAACAACCACTGCTAATGGGGTGCTGAGGGCTGGACCCAAGTACAAGCACAGACTGAGACCAGCGTTTGGAACAGCGTCAGCGCAGTTATTTGTCCAAACAAACTTGGAGACAGTCAAGGGGGCGAGCAGGCGCCAGAGGCGAGTCAGGACAGAGCGCATGTTCAGGTTACCTGGCAGGACGACCGAGAGCAGGGCAAGCAGGGTCAGAAACCACAGAGATAGCAATCCGGGGGAGAAAACACTTAGGAGAGCCTTCTGCATGCTGCTAAAGACAACTGGCAGAGGACTGAGGGAGGGAAGAGGTGGTTTAAATCAGGTGATCGGGAACACAGCGTGGAAGGTGGGTGCACTGATGGAGGCAGGCATGTGATCAGGAAAAGTTACTGGCAGAGCTGGCAGTACGATGGACAAGCCAGGAGCGGATTATGACAAACCCAGTTAATTAGCAAACACTGAAATCTAAATTAATTAAACATTCTTTGCTATGGAAGCTTTGCCTTTGGTTCATGTACAGCAGTCTTTCCCATTGTCAGGATAATTAAGCTAATTGTCTGTGTAGTGTTATCCAGGTTCATCCTTGTAATGTACTACCACTGGATGATCATATTGCCTCTCCAATCAGTCTTTGTAAACATTTTTGGCTGCCCCAGATGTGAAAAGTAGCCCGTGGTCATTTGAAGGCAACACGTCTTCTACTGTCTGATCCCAGGTGATACTTTAGGTCACCTTCTTCATTTTTCATGGGCATTAAGCAGGACAAATGTGAGACTCACGTTTCGTCCCACACCAGTCTGGACATTAACCTCCAGGGCTGACGCACTGCAGCGGAGCAGTCGCCGTGCAGTTACCTGTCATAAATCTTTATCTCCTTGAATCATTACTCGCCCTCTCTGTCATGAGACTCTTCTCTACAATCTTAATGATAGATGGGAAAATCCAAGCAGAGCAGGATTGAGCTAACTAAGCATATTCAGATGCTGGAGAATATGGCAAAATTATTATTTACCGGTGCATACAATGTATCCTAAATGCTTGACTGATTCACCAAGATATTAATTATAATGGTGTATTTGATATATTGAGAGCTGGTCATCAAAAACGCTCCTTTAAGCCACCCTGAATAATTAAACAAGACCAAAATGTCATTTGAATAATTGAAGAGTTTTTAGGAACAAAGCCCTTCTGCCACAAACTATTAATCAGGATCACATGAGTTTCTTGTTATATCACTAAAAGAGAGTACG